AAGATTTCCTTTAGCAAATCACTGCCAGTTTGGGTGTTTTACCATTCTAAGTCTTTATGATGTGATTTTATAATTCAATTGCTTATGCTTCATTATGATCTTATTTGTTTAATTAATTTATTAAATTTATATGCTAACCATCTCCGCTAAATGACTCTGGGATTATTGTTGAATTAGATTGCACTTTCTGATTTTATCATGCATCACTCTGGGAGTGTATGCATTGATGCCTCTCTTTTAATAGCTTGTAATCACAATAGCTATTACAATAGCTCATTATTATGCATTTTCTCTTAAAAAGAATAGGGCACATCTTTATCAGAGTGTTTATTTTTTAATCAGTTTTTAATTAAGGGCCAGTATATTCTATGGTGCTCCATAGTCATGATATTGAAATAAGTAGACAAATTCATCAAACAAACAAACAATAAAGGCAAAGGTTCCCCTCACACATATGTGCTAGTTGTTCCCGACTTTAGGGGGCAGTGCTCATCTCAGTTTCAAAGCCGAAGAGCCAGCACTGTCCGAACACGTCTCCATGGTCATGTGGCCGGCATGACTAAACACCAAGGGTGCACGGAACGCTGTTACCTTCCCACCAAAATAAATAATATCTTTCTGTAAATGCCCTAGCAAATACCCATTCCAGTAACAATACCCTGACTGTTTAGAAGCACATACCGTATTTTTCAGAGTATAAGACGCACCTTCCCCCCCCTAAAGGAGGGTAAAAATTTGGGTGCATCTTATACATTGAATGTAGCCCCGCCCAACTACTGGTCCCCACCCTTTGGTCTCTGCCTCCCAGCAGTTTACCTCCTTGCAGCAAGCAGAAACGGCTCGTTTCAGCTTCAGAACAGCCTAATTAGCACAAGTTGATTGGATCGGCCTCCCAACTCTCAGCTGTTTTCCTCTCAGCTGTTTTGCACATGCCTCTGCTGCTTGCTGCAAGGAGGTAAATTGCTGGAGCAGATTTTTTTTTCTTGTGCTAATCAAGCTATGCTGAAAACGAAAATGAAAGTAAAGCAGGCTGTTTGCTGTTTGCTGCAACAAGGCAAAATTGCTGGGAGGCAGAGGCAGATTTCTTTTTCTTGTTTTCCTCACCAAAAAATGTAGGTGCGTCTTATACTCCGGTGCGTCCTATACTCCGAAAAATATGGTACTGTATCGATCACTTCAGTAAATTAAACAAATTTCTTTGTTCTCTGCCCATACAGTACATTCTGCTGGTGGATTTGAGGTTCTTGATTGGAACTAGACCAGGGGTGGGTTGTACTTACCTTTACTACCGGTTCGCAACGGGGCCGCATGAACATGATTGGAAATTGGATAAAAATTATTCTGTGTTTTTGCCACGTAGATATCTTGACTTTTGCTGAAGGGGGAAAGACACGAGAACTTAAAAAAGAGTAGACTCCACTGAATGTGAAAACATAAATGGTCTAATAACAGTACTGTGAGACATATTCAAATCATCTTGATTTCTATAGGATATTTAAGTGTTTTTTCTTTTGCTAACTCAAAACGTTCTGAAAATCAGTCCTTAAATTTGGCTGAGCTGTTTTTAATATAGCAGGAAAACAATTTGCACAGCAACTGTCCAAATGATGCAGAAATCCAAACAATTTCTATGTAAAATTGGATAAATGCTATTAAATTGATTCCTTGCATACATTGGCAGATAAATCTTTCTGATTTTCTAAAATGAAATAAATGTGAATATATAGTGCCCCCCTGTGGCTAAAAGATATATTCTGCCCTATGAAACTAGTTGCCAAACTACAGTGCTATTGTAGATCAAGGAAGGAAGGGAGGGAGGGAGGGAGGGAAGGAAGGAAGGAAGGAAGGAAGGAAGGAAGGAAGGAAGGAAGGAAGGGGAAGGGAAGGGAAGGGAAGGGAAGGGAAGGGAAGGAAAGGAAAGGAAAGGAAAGGAAAGGAAAGGAAAGGAAAGGAAAGGAAAGGAAAGGAAAGGAAAGGAAAAACAAATCATCTAAAAGAACTCATCTCCCAAACACAGACTGCCTAAAACAGTAAAGTATTCTAGTTGCTTTCCTGGCCAATGTAGAAATAAATAGAGGTGTAGCAAAGCCTTACCAGTAATCTCTCTGTTGGACCAGGTCTGGAGAGAATGGGTGAGGATTATGGTATGTAGTTTTCCTAATTGTGATTCACCTACAGAGGTTGTGGTTGCCAGAACCACTAATAAGAAGGATTGACAGGGCTAGTGAGTAATTGGGCTAAGTATGTTATAGGATAGTGTCAGTTACTCCTATGGACCACTGTTTCTGATGTGCTTTTATATAACCAGTTTGGATTTCAATGATTTTTTTTTCAGTTTGTTGCTAAGTATGATCAGTGGATCTATTACATTTCAATGCTCTTAGAGTAGAGATATTATATATTCTCAAAAACATTGCTGGGCAGTTTGATTTAATTTTCACAGAGAGGAGGTGAAAATGATATTATAATGCTTCTAACTGCAAATTCACCTCAGTTTGAATTTCCTGCTTTATTAGTTTAAGAGGCTACAATATAAAAAGAAAGTTCCCTAGTGAGAATTTATCATTGCATTGGCTATTTTATAGAGAATTTATTTTTCCTGTGAATAAAATTCTGGAATTTAGGATCCAAGCAACATTAAATCAGTTGGTTTTCTAGGCCTTTCTCTCTATTGCCTTTATTGCTGCACATTCTTATCTTCCCTCTGAAACAAAGCAGAAAAACACAAATGAAAGCAAATAAAATAATACCATGGATAGATGGATAGGATATATATATGCGACATTCTGTAGCAGGATATATTTACTATAGAGAAACGCAATGGCTCAGTGTTTAAAGATGCTGAGATTGACGGTTCGAGACTGGGTTTGAGATCTGACCACCATGAGATGGGGTGAGCTCCTGTTACTTGCTCCAGCTTCTCCCCATCTAGCAGTTCAAAAGCATGCGAATGAGAATAGATAAATAGGTATTACTTCAGTGGGAAGGCAACAACGTACCGTAGATCTTGGTGTATAATCATGCTTGCCCCATGACCATGGAAGTTTCTTCAGACAATGCTTCTCCCTTGGCTAAGAAATGAAGCTGAGTATTAGAGTCAGATTCAACTGCACAGGGGAAACCTTTATATTTGCTGTAAAGTAATAAAAAAAAGACAATTGATTTTTTTTTTTTGTTGGAACACCTTATTTTAAAAGTTGGTATTAATACATTTAAAAAAAAAAACTATGGCAATGGGGCTACACATACTATGTATTTTAATATAAATCTATAAACTGCCTATCCTAAAGCAAGAACAAATATTTATTTGGTCTTGCTTTAAGATAGGCAGTTTATAGATTTAACTTGCATTGAATCATGTGGAATATCCCATGGAATGGTGTAAAATTCTACATACTCCAACTCTTTGCTGTCTGGACTCTGACTATCCCTGTCTGACTCTCAAGGGCTTTGATAGTTTGTTTATATATTTAATTTATATAGCTGCCCATTTGAACCAGTGACTCTATGTGGCATACATCATAAAAACATTAAGCAATTAAACAACTAAAACAATACAGAATAAATATACAGTATATGGACACCAAGTAAAACTATTGGCAAAGATATTGATATAGCCAACATTCAACACATTTGGTTGCCAGGATTCTAGTCATAATTGAAACTATGAAACCTGAATTCCCAAGTACCGTATTTTCCGGAGTATAAGATGCACCTTAGTTTTTGGGGAGGAAAATAAGAAAAAAGCTGATTGGTGGGTGAATCGGCCTCCCAGAATACCCCCAATCAGCTGTTTCCAGAGGTGAATTTTAGCAAGAGGTTCGTTAGTTGTGAGTTCTGTGCTTTGCTTTTTTTTCTGCCTCTGAAACTCTGTTTCAGGAAAAACCTTTTTTCCTGCCTCTGAAAGCCTCTGAAACAGCTTCAGGAAAAAAAAAGACTTTTTTTCTGAAGCTTCTTTCAGAGGCTTTTATTCTGAAGGACTATCTGTACTCTGTTCAATCTCCTTTCTTTGGTATTGGTATGTAGATTAACCTCTTCACCATCTGTTGGTTATTGTGTCATTCTCCAGATTTGTTAGCATAGTTTGATTAGAACCTTTACTGATTCTTCTTTTGTTGCTTGCCATATTATTTTAGATAAAAGCCTTTCAGAGGCTTCTTTCAGCCTCTGAAATCTCCGTTTGCGAGGCTGGGCGGGGCTACATTCAGAGTATAAGACGCACCCAGATTTTCACCCTCTTTTTTGAGGGAAAAAGGTGCGTCTTACACTCCGAAAAATACGGTAGTTGAGACAGTGAGCAGAGATCACTAAACCTTGCAATATCACACAGTGCTTTTCCTGAAAAGAAGGTAAGTAAAATAAGTGGCCAACATGGTGGGCATGCACACGCATAGCATTGAGGGGTGGGGGAAATGGAAACAACAACAACAAAAAGGACTTAAGTAAGTAGAAAATTCTTAGGGGATGGAATCCAGCAATTTGTTGACATACAATACCTTAAAATATTCTCCGACTGCAGAAGCCAAATTTTAGAATGCATTTTTTTGGTGGGGTGGGGTTCAGCTGTTGAGTACCTTCTAAATAGCAGCTATAAGAATGCAATAACTCTTCTCTGGAGCAGTAAATCTCTGCAGCATCACAAAAGATTGTGTGTTAGTTGCTTTGTAAGTAGCTTTAGGCACAGGTAATATAACAATAAAAACTGTGAAAGTCTTTCTGAACAAATTAGATATAGAGAACTCTACCAGTTCAGTTGGAAAACCCAAACAAATTAGCCTGGGATTGGCCAGTGATTAAAAATAAAATTATTGCCAATTTTTTAGCTGTATCTTTCCCTATATATTAATTGAGGAGGACATATCTGTTATTCAAAAGAGTCTTGTAAATGAGAGTGTGCAATTGCAGTGATTTACATCATTTGCATGATGGCATTGCTGTGCAGATGATATACATTGACACAAAAGACATAATTTCCTTCTTTTTTATTTATTTTGTTTTAGGAAAGAGGACACCGAAGAAAAAGGAGAAGAAGAAGAAGAAGAAAAAGAATTTAATGGAACGAGCTCAGAAGCAGCACAGTTTCTTCCTAGCTACAGACCAAGCTAGTCAATAGAGACATTTGCCCAGGGCCTGTTGATACATGTGGGTTGTTGGTTTTTTTTAGTTTATATCTTGTTTTTGTTCGTTTTGCAAAATACACAGAAGCTGCTATTAGCTCCTGCATGAGGAAGCACTGCGATTCAGCTGCTCTGACAGCCTTTGGACCTGGGGGAAAAAAGGAGAACATCCACAAGCTTGTTCGTCTATGTTATTTATACTTTTACGATTAATGTGGTTCTTATTGTTCTTATTATTGTTCCCCAAACTTAGTCTCTCTCTGGGACTGAAGAAAAGCACTGAGTTCAATCAGTGGAAGTGTATCAAAAAAATGTCATTTGAGGGTTCCCTCCCTCTCTTTTTGGTTTAATTTAGTTACCTGCAAGAAGGAAGGAATTTGATTTCATGGCACAGGATTTTGGAGACAGGAGCATCAGGACTGCATGGCACCATGGGATAAATTCCTATTTCTACAAGGCAAAGAAATGGGGAAGTTAGAATTGCGTATCGTTTCTCATACTGTACATTTTCAAAACTGAAGGACACCAAGAGGATATCTGTAGGTAACACACTTGGTTCTCATCACACCTGCTATACTGGAACAGTTGTATAGTCAAAACTGCTCTTGACTGATATATGGAATTATGGCTTAGTATTTCAGGACCATAGTGGTTCCCATGTGTACATATCATGCTGTCTACATATAAATAAACCTATTTACATTAGGAGGTTGGGTCTGTTTTCCATGTGTGCAGTTCATCATTCGAACACCTAAAGATGAGTGCTGAAAATGAAAACAATACTACCCCTTTTATACAAATCTGTCCAAGCCAGCTTTGACTGATGACAGCCTGACAATATATCTTGCTCTTGTGCAGTTTAGTGTTTTCCTGGCAGGGCCAACTTATCTCTGAAATCTTTCCTTCAAAGACACTCCGCTGGTTGTAATCAAGTGATGACATTCCATTCGAAAACAAAAACCACTTTTTAGAGTTGAACTAAGCCATATTTCTCAAAGAAATCCTGGCATTCTGCTGTTTTGTTTTGTTTTTTAAAAAACTTGGTGTTTTTTTTTAAAGGAAATAGACTTTAAGAAAAGGAATTAAAAGGTAAATAGGTTTAATGTTGTCATTTGTGAATAAATTTGCAGAAACTGTAAGGAGACTCCTATATCCTGCAAATGATGTGGAGCCATAAAATGATGATGATGATGATGATGTTATCCATTCAGCTGTGTCTGACGCTTGGCGATACTATGAACCCAGTATCTCCATAATTTCTGATCTTGCATTATTTCTTCGAGTTGTTCTATGCTCTGGCTGTTGTCAGCTTTGATGGTGTCCAGCCGCCATGTTCTTTGGTTGCCTGGTTTCCTTTTACCGCTAACTCTTCCAAGTATAATTGCTTTCTCCAGTGAATTCCCCCACATGATGTGGCTAAAACATGAGCTATAAATATTCACCTGTAATTATTGTCCCTGTTGGCTAACTCATTTGAGAAAATGGAATGTAATCACAATGGAAAGTTTCCTGCCTCTTCTATAAGATCAGTAAGAGGCAGCATATGGAGCCTTTTTCAAAATCCATTCTTGGCCCTCCCCAGTAAGCCAGACAGGAAACATAACTATATGAGCTAAATCTACTTTATTCTAAGGCTACATTGATAGAATCTTCCAGGTCTGAAAAAACAAACTTCCCACCATCACTTTTAAACTACTGACCTATTAGGGCAAGTCCTTCCTAAGTTTTCTTCTCTGCCCATTAAGCTCTTAGGGATGCTTCCTCTCCTGTCTGATTGTTTCCTAGGCAGCATCTTTTTCCATTGCTCCCCAAGATCACTTACACATTCTATCATATCCACCCATTGATTCCAATTGATTCCCACTGGTGAGTGAATGCCTACACATTGTCCTCTTCCATGGTGAGATAATATGCTCAAGTGGAAGCTCTTAGTAGATAACAACACATGGGTCGGCTTCAAAAATTTTAGCAAGGGGTTCTCTGCCTGGTTGCTGGGTGGGTGTGGCCATGGTGGGCATGACCTAGTCAGCCTCCTGCACCACAGTGGGGGGTGGAGGTGTTTTTGCCCTCCCTGGCTCCGGAGGCTTTCTTTGAGCTTCTGGGAGAGCAAAAATGACCTCCCCAGGCTCCAGAGGCCTTCTGGAGGCCAGAAACGGACTCATTTCCTGCCTTCCCAAACTTCTGGTAGGCCAGTTTTTTGCCCTCCTTGAGCCTCCACATGTGCCCTGCACTTACCTGCATCCAAAAACGGGTTGTGTGGGGACTCCTGGGAGGGATGGGGTGGGATTGGCCAAGAGTGGGATTTGGGGGTTCTCCAAACTGTACAGAATCTTAGCTAGAGGTTCTCCTGAACCCCTGCGAACCCCCAGCAGCCCATCCCTGACAACACACTGTGTGAATGTGGAGAGACGTACAGCCTGGCCCATCTGCTGGTATTTGGCTATTACCAGAAATAAGTATCAATTGTAACAACACAATAGCATTTAGACTTATATACTGCTTCACAGTGTTTTATAGCATTCTCTAAGCGATTTTAGAGTCAGCATATTGCCCCCAACAATCTGGGTTACCATTTTACTGATCATGGAAGGCTGAGTCAACCATGAGCCAGAATTGAACTGATGTCAGTGGACAAAGTTAGCCTACAATATTGGATCCTAACCACTGTCCACCACTTATTTTGGGCCACGACAAAGCCAGGAAAATGGCTTCATTCTGGTAGTTCAAAGTTTGACGTAGACATGGAAGAAGAAGAGTGAAATAATGGCTCATTACAGAAGGAACTTTGTTTTGTCTTATCTGATCCACAGGACTAATTAAAATATATTAAACAATCCAGTCCTGAAAAATTAGTTCTAAGAGATTTTTTTCTTCATTATCACAGTCCTAGGACGTGCAACCCAAGCCCTGTTCTCCCATGCCCATAATTCCAGATCCTTTTATATTTAATCCTAAGGATATTAAATTGAATTCACCTAGAAAGAAACCTTCAACCACATCAAATTCAAAGGTTTATAGAGAAGCTGATGAATTTCAGACTTCTAGGCATGCAATCCTACACAATGTTGGTTCTCGAGTGTGCAGACTGAATCCCACAACCAGAGTGGATCTCTTCCCCACTTCACTCCCACGGTCACTTCCATGTCCTTAACATTTTGAAAGTTCAGCCCACGCTGCCACCAATGGTGTCTTATTTTGAAACTGCTGTTACTCATTTGTGAGAATCAAAGTAGAGAAAATTGATAACTGTGAAGCGTGCCTTCTATTTAACTCATCAATATCAAGGACCCGTTCTAATTAGCCAGGGTAATTAGCTTGGTATGCCTTGTCATTAAAACTTCCAGTAATGTGATTCAAAGATTTCCCATTTGGAAGTGTTAAGTGACTACCAGCAACATTCCTCCATGGACTTAATACCAAAAACAAGACCTGATTCAAATGCCTTAAATGAAAGGGAAAATATTTCAAACGGCAAACTTTATAATTAGATCACTGCATTAACATCTGACTCTAAAGAGATGGAATTTTGATAGATAGATAGTTCAAGAACTTCATGGAACTAATTGTCTTTTTTTAAAAAATAATTTTTTTAAAAAAAAACATGCTATATTGTTTGCTGACATACATGATAAACTCTGCATAAATAATAAAACAACCTAGTAATATTAAAACACTCAAACCTAAGTTGCCTCAATAATATCAATCCAACTAGCCAAAATACTACCAGCAAATCACACAATAACTCATCTAGCGTGTTTCTAAATTAAGTGATATTTAATGACCTCCCATTCTTGCCCCAGCTCCTGCCAACCTAGCAGTTTGAAAGCATGTAAATGCAAATAGATAAATTCTTTAGTAGGAAGGTAACAGAATCCCATGTGCCGCAGTATAGTTGTAGGAAGCCCCCCCCGCCCATCCAGGGGAATGAAATATTTTGGGGAATATTAAAAGAAATAGAATATTGTATTTCTCCAAAGGAGAAATGGAGAAAAATCTTAAGAAAAGCAGAAAGCAGCCCCAACAGCCTCCAGCAGAAGTCTTTAGAGATGGATATTTTGTGTCCATTAAGGAAGAGTGAGCCAATTCATTCACAAATAAAACACCTTCAGCTCCAGTTGATGGGATTAAGAAGGACAGGACATGACTTTTAGGACATAATAGGATTAACCCACCGCCATTAGAATAGCAAAAGACACAAACCTCACTACTTTGCACAACCCCCTGGAGTATTTCAAACAAAACCCCAAAGAATGTATAAAAACCCACCTATCTCAACCCAATTTTGACAGCTGCCCCAGAACAACATGCTGTTGTTGCTTCTGCTCATGAATAAACAGAATCCTTCTTTCCAATCAGCTTCCATGTTATTTCCAGGGCCTTTCTCCCAGATTGGAACCAGACCAGATTTTTCTTCCAACATAGTCATGGAACTATGACTATGGAAGCATCTTCGAAAAACACAGCTCTCTCAGTGAGAAAATGGAGCACCATCTCCTAGAGTCAGATACGCCTTGATAGGGGAAACCTTTACCTTTATTGTAATATTGATATGTAGATTTCATGTAAATTAATAAAGATAATAAAGTTGTCAGGGTTCCAAGTAACATCCCCAACAGAATCAAAACTCTGAGGCAGGCATATTCCTCAACGTGTGTATTTATTAGGCTGTTTCCCCCCAAATAAGACATCCCCTGATAATAAGCCCAATCAGGCTTTTAAGCACATGGCAATAAGGTCAAACATTTATTTCAGGGTTCAAAAAAAATATAAGACAGGGTCTTATTTTGGGGGAAACACAGTACATAGAAATTGATGCTTTTTGTGAGAAATACATGTCATATATTTTGCTGTGTATTTGTGTAAGTACACAAGAAGTACCTGTACAAAGAGGTAAGGAAAAAGTAATAAAAATATGCTAGATTGATTCTCAGTGCCATCCCAGCTTCCTAAAATATTTTCAATGAATGAAACTAAATAGTTGCCATGCATTCCAACTTGGTTTATGTTTTAAAAGAAAACAAGGGATTTAGTATTAGCAAAGCAGTATTCGAATAAGTATTACACTTAGCATGCACCAGCTCAGTTAAAAACAATTGGTTAATGTACAATGCACCACATAGAAGGAGCAATTCTTATCTACTGTACAGAAAGTCTGATTAAATCATTCATAATTGATGGTTATCTAGATTCTGTTGAATAAAATCTAGCACACTGGCACTTACTAATACTTTGAGTCATTGATTCCAAGGCCAAACTGTCTTACTCATTGGAAATTTTTTTCAACATTTAATCTATTTTGCTGTATATCCCATAAGTGATGATAGAAAACAGGTTTTGACATCTCTTCAAGTAACTGAAGAATGTTATCATACCCCTTCCTTAGTCTTCTTCTTTTTTCCAAGTTAAATATACTCAATTCCTCAGCATATCCTTATAGGACTTCCTTAGTCCTTTGCTCATCTTCACTGACCTTTGATCTTTTCTTCTTCAATCCTTCTTTAAATGTGATGTTGCAAACTAGATAGAATAGTTTGATAGAGAATAGAATAGAATAGAATAGAATAGAATAGAATAGAATAGAATAGAATAGAATAGAATAGAATTCTTTATTGGCCAAGTGTGATTGGACATACAAGGAATTTGACTTTGGTGTAATTAGATAGATAGATAGATAGATAGATAGATAGATAGATAGATAGATAGATA